TGGATGCATAAATGAAGGGATATCTGGTGGAGAGGTGGGATACAGAATCAGGTGAGTAGACTCCATGTGTTCTGGATTATCTATTCATATAGCCTAAGATGAAACTGGCTCTATGGTGCCATGCCATGGTGTTAGCTTCTAAAGAACTTGCAACTAAGGATATTCTTCATTCTACCTCTAAGTTTTCCCTTTTCTTTTCATGATACTTGAAAGAGGTTGGAGGGTTATGTGACTCAAGGATAAAAAATGGGTTCATAACATTCAGGAGGAACTTCATGTCACGTAGTCCAGTTGTCAACCTTGGCTGCACACGGGAATCACAAGCCTCTGCTTGGCTTTCTCCAGCCGCAGCTTGCTTAGGGCCTCACAAGATACCCATTTCATTGTCCATAATCCTACTCTAGGTCTTTCTTGTGTGATGGTTGCATTTGCCTCTTTGAATTACCTCCTGCTGGTTCTGGAGCCACTTGCTGGGAGTCACACATAGTTCTCATTCTCACCTGCACAGCCAGTATCCTGCTGTCTCTCCTCCCCAAAGTGTCTCTTCTCCAGGGTGGATACTCCTGGCTCCTTCAGCTCATCTTTATTGGGTAAGGTTTCCTCTCAACTGCATTTTACTTGGTCCATGTTTGCATTAAATGTGCTCTGGACATAGTCGGACCACTTTAGGATGACATGAAATGATAACTTCTCATAATCTGCATAAAATACTTCTATTAATTCAGATGAAATTTAGATTAAATTAGTTAGCTTAGATTTAATTAAGTTTACATGCAGGAAGTTTCTTTATTAACCCTATCACATGCTAACCTTCTGGGCAACTAGAATGACAAGATTTTATTTTTTAGGGTATCGATGCCCAGTTTGGGTAACCTTACTAATACAACATGGCTTAAATTCCACACAGTGGAATGCTATCTAGCTATTTAAAAGAATGAGGCAATTCTACAAGTATTGCTGTGGAAAGATTTCCAAGATGTAACGTTTAAAAGGTCACAGAAAAATAGGTATTTCCTACTCTGATTTAGATATAAAAACCCATATATAATTATGTATGATTATGTGTATAAATACATAAACAAATATCTAGAGGGATGAACAACAAACTTCCCTCTAGGGAGGGGAGGAAACTGAGATGGGAGAGAGTAAAAGAGACTTTACATTTGTCAAAAATGAAATTTTAAATTGTAGCCTATTGTGGATATAAAAGAGCCGTTTGAGAACCAGGAGACATTGAACTAAAGTGGTAAAACTCCCACTTACAGCAGTTACAGCACAGTTTATCAAATATAAAAGAGGAAGTATTTAGAGCTTTTTCATGATTGGCTGTTGTATGTTAACCTTCTTTTTGAGGCAAGAAGAGGTGTTCAAGCTGATTTTTCTATAGTCGACTGATTTAATTTCACTGAATCAGGCTGATAAGGACATAAAACTTGTGTTTTCTGTTTCATATATGATTAGAACTGGAGTTTCAGGAAAAACAGGATGACCTGAGCCTTTGTCTATGAGGCTGTGGGCAGTTGGCCTTGTAGGGTTTGGGCTATAATCCCCAAAGACACAATCCCAAATGCCATAATCTCAAATGTTGAGATCCTGAAAGATCAAAATCCCCAAAATCTAAAATCCAAATGTTACGAACTCAAAAGTTTAAAATTGTGGAAATATAATTCTGGAAAAAATAATGTAAAAAAATTCTAAAGACATTTATTTGCATTTCTAAAAGGAGTTTTGCTTGAGAAACACATAAAAACGCAACAGAACACTTAATAGGCCACTTTACACAATAAAATAGGCAATAATAATAACATATTTTTGCAAGCATAAGCACTCATGTATACTAATGGTTACCAGGAAAAAAATCCAAGCTCTGTAAAAGAATTTAAAGAGGTTTATTCTGAGCTGAATGTGTGTGACTGATGGCCTAGGGCACATGGCCTCAGAGGTCCTGAGAAAATTGCCCAAGGTGGCCAGGTTACAGTTTGGTTTTATACATTCTCAGAGACAGGGATTATATGTCAAATCATAAACCAATACATGGAAGGCATGTATTCGTTCGGCCCAAAAAGAGAGACATCTCAAAGTGGGGGCTTATAGGTTACGTATGGGTGGGTTTAAAGATTCTTTGATTTGCAATTGGTTAAAGAAATGAAGCTCTATCTAAAGCCTTGGAATGTTTTAAGATAAGCAAGTTTGTTAATCAGAGACAAGAATGTCCTCAGGTGTTCTGGTGAACTTTCTGAGGGGCCCATCCAGCAACATGCACAAAGGGTGTCCATGTATGAGCTGTTGTGGTGAATTCTCTGAGGTTTATCACAAGTCATGTAGGTTCGCTTGCAGGAGTGTGAAGCTAGCTCAGAATGATCAGAAGCCTATAATTGTCAGATTTTAAACCACATCAGTTTTTATATCTCTGACCCCATGTAACTAGTAGCAAGGACTTGGCTGCTGACTCTGGGGAACCCACATGCTTTCCTGAGCTCTGAACTTCAGAACTAACCGCCCATAGGCAGCCCTGAAGCCCAAACTGAAGCTTCCACAGGTTTAACATACTGATCATGTTGATTTCGTAGAAGTCATACATGAATTAAAGACACTTTCCTCAAATCGAGCAAAACCCAAGTGACTTTTTTAAAGTTTGACTTGTTTTTAAATCACTTTGAGAGAAAAGGAAAGTAAGTACAAACAACTGGTGGTGAGTACCTTTGCCCTCCGGAGCAAGCAGCGCCGTTCTGTTATGCTTTAGATGCTGAAGTTTAGACACTTTCCGTGATTGTAAATGTGTAGCAGACAAAATGATGGGTACTTTTTTCTCAGCTGCTGTGGATTATTTCATTAGGACTAAGAATGCTGATAAGGTCCTACGAATCAGTTGTTCTTCAATTCCATTTTCCACCTCCAAAGCCTGGACTGTGTTTCCCTGATCAGTGGGAGGCGTACCTGGACAGACCCGTAAACATAGATCAACACGTTCCATCCAAGGAACCCTACTTTTTCCTAATTTCTATTGGAATGGCTTCTTAATGCTTGTATTCCATTCCTGCTTCCTACCAATTTTATAGCTTTTTCAAGTTTAAGATGTAAACTCAAACATACTTTCTCATCTGATCCTCAGGACACCTCCACGTGGCAGCACAGCCCTGACTTTGGAGATGAGCAGTGGAGGCTCAGAGCTAAGGGGCTGTCCTGGGCACAGAGCTGGGGCTGGCTCCTGCTCTCCCATCTCTATTCTCACTCACTTTGACCACACCGAACTCAGGGGCTCACGGTCTATTAAGAAGCAAAAACAATTCCTTGCCACGGGCCTCTGTTATTGCATTTCTCAGACTTACCTTGAGAAGTGCCCATTGACTTGTATATTCATGTCCTCACACTCGTCCCTTCCTCCTAGAGAGGAGAAGGTCAGCAGGACGCCCTCCAAGGAATCCTTGCATGGCTTAATGTCCTTCACGGGACTCCCCCTTTGTCTGTTTTTCCTCCTTCTCGACTGAAGTCTATAATCTTGAGAAAAGCTGACATCAGCCTTAGGGCTCCTGGTCTAAAAAATATTGAGTCTAATAAAAAATCTTGACTGACACTTCCTGCTCGCCCCTGAGGGAGCACAGAGAACCTCACGCCCAAATACAGCTCCCTGCCATAATGAGTATTGTGAATTAAAGCCGTCAGAGATCAATAGTTGTTAGAGGAGACTTTTCTCCCAGCTACACAAAGATTGGACAGACCGACCAAGGAAAACGTTGTCTCCCCTCACCAAGCCTCTCCCAAAGCACAGGATGAAGTTGTTCTAATTTCCCTTATCTGCCTAAAGTTCTGGCCTCCCAGTGAAGAAAACAATGACCTCTGGTTCCTTCCCTTCGTCTTTGTTAACTGAACTCATGTCGCAGGAAGGAAGACAAAAGTCAGTCAACCCTGGAGAGAATTTTGTCATAAATCACTGTCTGCCCCGTGGGCCCAACAGGCTTTGTCCTAAGCCATCGTATGTTCTTCAAGCCCACTGAAGTCCCCTAAAAATCATTTACTATTCCCCTAAAATCATCCACACTTCCCCATCTCCCTTTTCCCTAAGAAGTAAGGTATATAAACATCTGTACCCATTGGGATGTTGGGCAATCGCTCTGTGATTCTCCCCCATGCATGCTAATAAATTTATATGCCTTTTCTCTTCTTGATCTGCATTTTGTGAGTTGATTTTTCAACAAACCTTCCAAGGGTGGAGGGACCCCTCTGGGATGGATAAGCTCCTAGGGGTTTGCTGTTGCCACATGACCAGCTTAATTCAGCAGGAAAAGGAAAGTAGCCTAGACTTGTAATTATTATAATACTTAATTATAATAGCTAAAATTTCAAATGTTAAATTAAAAATCACTACATTTGAACCTAGTGACAGGAAAAATGGACACAGAGACTAAAGATCTAGCCCAAACTTTTGTATTTATTTGTTAGAGGATTTTGGATAAATTACTAAATTTCTTCATGGTTCAATTTCCCCATTAGCTATGATGGACAGCACATCATTATGGGGCCCTGGAGAGGCATAGTTATTTGTAATAATAATAATTGTGATTATTATTGTTAAGTATTTTGTTTGTAAATAGTAAGAGAATTATTTTGATAGTCGTATATAAACTTTAAAACAAAATAAAAAAAATCCCTTGAAGATACAGTAATTATTATTATCATTATACAAACTGTTTTTCCTGTTTTATATTTCTTCCTTCAAATGCTTTCAGAAATCAATATTCCCATTCTTCACCACTACCCGCGACATTTGTTTCCTTTTCCCATCATACATCATGCTGACTTTGAAAATGTCAGAGCTTTCCTTCTTGGCCCCCCTCTGTATCTGTGACATACATTTTGTAGTACATGATAAAGAACCTCTAAAATGTGTAGGCTGCTTCCCATACATGGCATCTTTGTGTAAATGAATAGATCAACTGCTGTGTTTTACAAAGGGTGATCGTGCTTAGTTGTGGAATTGTTTTTTTCTTCTTCTATCACAGAACAAGCAAAATGACAAGCTCCATAGATGAAGTTGAGGCCTTCGGGACCACGCCCTATGACTATGAGCTGGCACTGCCATGTGAAAAAGCCAGTATCAAGGAGCTGATCGCCCAGTTTCTGCCCCCACTGTACTCCCTGGTGTTCATCGTGGGCTTCTTGGGCAATGTCACAGTGATAGTGATCCTCACAAAATACAGGAGGCTCAGGATTCTGAGCAACATCTACCTGCTCAACTTGGCAATCTCTGACTTGCTATTCCTCTTCACTCTGCCATTCGGGATTCACTATGCTAGGCTGAATAAGTGGGTTTTTGGCCATGGCGTGTGTAAGCTCATCTCGGGGCTTTATCAAATGAGCTTGAACAGCGAGATCTTATTCATCATGCTAATGACAATTGATAGGTACTTGGCCATAGTCCATGCTGTGTTTGCCCTTCGAGCCCGGACTGTCACTTTTGGTGTCATCACCAGTATTGTCACCTGGGGCCTGGCAGGGCTAGCAGCCCTCCCTGAATTTATCTTCCATGAGTTCCAAGACATGCCTGAAGAGCCTGTGTGCAGCCCTGCTTACCCAGAGGAGGGAGAAGATAGCTGGAAGCATTTCCACGCTCTGAGAATGAACATCTTGGGTCTCGCCCTTCCCCTGCTCGTTATGGCTTTCTGCTACTCAGGAATCATCAAAACATTGTGGAGATGCCCCAGTAAAAAAAAGTACAAGGCCATCCGGCTCATCTTTGTCATCATGGTGATCTTTTTCATTTTTTGGACACCCTACAACCTGGTTCTCCTTTTCTCTGCTTTTCAAATGATCTTCTTTGGTGACAACTGTGAGCGGAACAGACACCTGGACCTGGCCAGGGAGGTGACAGAGGTGATCGCCAACACACACTGCTGCATCAATCCGGTGATCTACGCCTTCGTCGGTGAGAAGTTCCAGAAGTACCTGCACCACTTTTTCCACAGGCACGTGGCCGTGCACCTGGGCAGATACATCCCATTCCTTCCTAGCGAGAAACTGGAAAGAGCCAGCTCTGTCTCCCCATCAACAGGGGAGCCGGAACTCTCTGTTGTGTTTTAGGTTAGCTGTAGAAAATTGCCTAAAGAGGATAAGTTGGGCAGATGAAGCAAACACATTAAGTCAGCCACCTTTACCTCTGTACCTTTACCTTTGAACAACCAGAGCAACATTGAAATATATGCACAATGGTGACGGCAGTGTATGCATGCACCTCAAGGCATTACCAGAGGCCAAGGCTGGGCAGTTTACTCATCACCAACCTTGAAAAACAGAGCTTTGCTTCATTCTCTGAAGAGTTACATAATAAATTTTAATGCTCCCAAATGCTACATACTATATGCAGCTATAAATAGGTAAAACTTTATATTTCAAATCTTAATTTCAGCAGCTATTGACATGAATGAAGCATTTCACAAAATGCAATAAATTGAAATCAAGGTGTCGGCTGGGCAGAAAAAATGCAATAAGTCAATTACTTTATTTGCTAATGTGACTAGCTCTTTCCTTGCTTCATGAAAGCCTTTTTTTTTTTTTTTGGATGTGAATAAATAATCTCAAGAAACATAGTGGCATGCCAAACCTGTTCTAAATATTTTGTTTGGTTTTTATTTTTTTTCTTATTTTTTAAAATACTCTTAATAAAGTCAATTGATTTCCTATTTGCACCGAATGACCAAATTTCCCACAAGTGACTCATGGAGCCCTGAAAAGTGCAGTCCCTTAAAGGTGACCCTCTGAAATGCCAATCTCACATTGCACAGTAGGCCAGGGGCCCCCAGCACATAAGAAGTAGCTCGGGTGTGGCCTGCAAACTTGTCCTCAGAAGCACCTGGAGGGCGTGCTAACACATGGATGGCCGGGTCCCACCCCAGAGTTTCTGATTCAGAGGGTCTGGAGTGAGACCCAAGAATTCGCAGCCCTAGCAAGTTCCCAGGCGATGCTGATGACGCTTGTCCCAGGACCTCACTTTTAGAACGACTGCGCAAGCTGAAGGGCTCCTAGAGACACTCCGGAGTTATTCTTGAAACTAAGGATTTCACAGTTGGCAGAGGGAAATGCAAAAGGCCTTTGTGATCTAGGCTGTGCTAAGGGCAGTCGCGATGCTGCACAACCTATAAATGATGTCGGTCCATCCTAAACTAATTGGCTTAGTGGGAATTTCTTGTTCACCATACTCATTCAGTTGAGATTTTCTTGAGTGCTTGTATTTAATACCTTGCTCTAGAAGCCGTGGGAGGTACAAAGATGAATGAGACTTTGTGTGAGCTACATCCTAAGGAAAAAAATGTGCAACATATGTAAAAGTAACCAAAAAAATGTGGAAATGGCCCAGGTGCTCATTGCCTTTGCCTCCCCTTATTTGTGGCTTCTTAGGGAAGTAAGTTCTAAGTTTCTGCTTAACCTGTGCCTCTTAGTACAGACAATTCGTGATAGTGTAATTGAGCCCTGCCGGCTGTTCACTCAGCAGCTGTCTGTGAGGCGATGTGGACAGGATGCACACACGCTGCTTTAGGTTAAGTGAAAGATGCAAAAATGTACGAGACAAACATAATCCCTGCCCCCAGCACACTTCAGGTTAGTAGGAAGTATAAGCTAGAAAAAAACAACTCCAGTGCAAAGAGGTAGAAACTCAATGCCGTGCCTGGGCCAGGAAGGGAAAAATCATTTCTTGCTGGAATCTGCGAGAAGGAAGATTTCCATGGAGGAAGTGGCAGGTCTCTGAAGGCAGGATTAGGAAAGGGAGAGGATTTGGGTGGAGGCACTTTAAAGCCAGGGAATGCCCAATCCAGAGATGAGAGGGGAGGGCATGCACATCTGCGGCCAGCAGGGTAGGATGGCCAGGTCGGGATGGGCATGGATTTCAGCCAAAGGATCTTGGGCTTTCTTAGGACGGCAAGGGGAGCTGTTGAGGGGCAAGAGCAGGGAGTAAAACAACACACGTGGTGCTGTAGGAAGATAAATCTGGTAACACAGAGAACATGGCGTGGAGGCCCCAGAACTGTGCAGGGAGTGAGTTAGGAGGTGAGTGTAAGTGTGGAACGTTTAGTGGCTGGTAAGAGAGGTGCCGGGAGAACCCAGAGAACTTGATCAAGAGACAACATGAAGGAAGAGCTGAAGCACTAGCAGTGATATATGATTGATTGTAAAAATCAAAGGGCAAAACAGAGTGTATCATATGTTTAAAAAAAGAACACACACACACACATACGCACACATACATTTTTCCTACACTTAGATGCACAGATCATCTCCCTAAGGATACAGAAGAAACTGGTACCCATGGCTGTCTATGGGACGGCATAGCAATGGCTGGGGAACAGAAGGAGTGTGACCTTTCGTGTTTTTTGGATTTTGAACCACAGGAACATGTTACTCATTCAAAAAATAAATAAAAATTTAGAATTATATGCTAAAAAACGAAAGGCTAGGCTACTGCTCAGTTGTTTGGAGGTAGGTATGCATCCCACCAGCCATAAGGACATTAGAAGTTTCCTGCCACGCATTAACCCTGCAACCTGACACAAATTACATCGCCTCTTTTGTCTTCAGTTTCTTCAACCATATAACAAGGAGGTTGGATTAGATCATCTCCAAGCCCCCTGGTGGCTGAAGTAGACTCTGGTCTTGCTAAAATATTAGAGCTGGAGCCTCCAAAATCGATCGTAAAAAGGAAGGGGCAGAGGAGGGGTGGACAGTCCCACAGCGCTACCTCCATCCGTCGCAAGGCCAGGTGTATTGCCCACTGTTCCCTAAGGTGGGCTTGGGTTTCACTTGCTGGTTCATTCATCAAGTTGCTTGTCATTCATTCTTCATTCAGTCAACGTTTGCTAAGCACCTACCATATTCTCAGCTATGTCCTGAGGAAACAAACTTGGGCGCACCACGGACCCTGCCCTCAGGGAGCTCACCAGCAGGTGGAATTGAACACCATTTCTTCTTCCCCTGCAGAGTCCATAGCCATGTCTTAAAAAGAAATTGGCGATGCCTAAATTCAACCCAAATGAGAGAAACTTCCATGTTAAGACCAGAAAACTCTTTTCACTTTGCAGTCAAATGGTTACGGCAGGGGCTGCGTGCTCATGGCCACCCACTCCATCCATCCTCAGCCTCTGGTGAGTGAGTGGCCTGGACTCTTCTTACCATCATGCCTGTCTGAAAGCTGTACCTGGGCAACACAGGATGTGAACTTCGGAACACTCTAAACCACGCAACACGACTCTCAATTTGGCTAGGAAACTTTGAAGTGCTTTTTTTCTTTTTTGTGGTTCAGCCAAAATGTAAATAAAACAATCATTTAAAAACTTAACTACATCACTGGTTCTCTCTTACGCTGTGAAGGAGCATCTGCCCTTAGGTAACCACCAGTGCAGGCCACAGGTGCTTGTTCGTGCTCCCCTCACTCCCGAAAGCTTTTAGGAGCTTTGCGACTCGCACAAAACTGCACATAACCGAATCGTGGATTCGGGGTACTCTTGCTCCCCAGCCCCGCTCTGTCTGCTAGAACTATCTGTGGTGATGGAAAAGTGCTGTGTCTGCGTTGTCCAGTACGGTCCTCACTAGCCACACGCAGCTGTCGAGCACTCGAAATGTAGCTTATGTGACCGAGGAACTGAATTTTTAAATTGTATCCAATTTAAATTACTTCGTATTTAAATTTAAATGGCCATGCATGGCCAGCGGCCACTCCATGTGGTTAGTGGTGCAGCACCAGCCCCTCAAACCCGCCTCTGGCCCCTCGTCTACCTATGCATCAGGCGTCCTGCAGCCGACAGACGCATGACTGAGCACGGTGCGACAGTAGGGAAAACGCGGGGGGAGCAAAGATGAGTAAGATCCGTTTTTAGAAGGCTCACGCTCCGTTCGGTGGAGAGACCCATCTGACTCCTGTGATTGCAGTGACTACGATGAAGCACGGAATGTGCCTGAGGGACCCTGCTGCAGAGAGCAGGATGGAGACACTGAAGAAAGGTACACAGAGCAGGTGTCATTCTGCGTAGGTGGGGTTCCCCCAGGCACAGACCCTGAGCAAGGATTTGAGAGCAAAGAGTTTATCTGCAAAGTGCAGGAAACTCCAGTAGGGGAGTGGGGAAGTGAAGCAGGAGGGGAAGATGCCTGAAAAGGGCACATTATCAAGCCACCTTCCATGCAGGGGAGGGCGCGACTGGGGTTAAAGCCACTAGGAAACCCTGGCAGCAGGGTAACACTCTTCTCAGTTGCCCCATTTGAGGGGTAAGGGAGTCGGGGAATTTATATTCCACTCCTGAGGGGCACACTGGCTGAGGGCCGCTCCAGGGGAATGTTAATCCCCAGCACTTCCCGCCTGCCTTGCTGGGGTGGAGAGGCCTTCCCAGCTTGGGGGAAAGCTCCTTGGGAACAAGATGCGGACACGGGTGTTGGAAGCCAGCAAGGCATGCTTGGCTAAGGCTTGAGAGATAAAGCATTTGCTACGTATCTGAACTGGTGTATAAGCAGTGTTTTCATTAAGCATTGGGTGGAAGTGAGAGTGGCATCCAGGCAGAGGGGGCAGTTTGCTGGAAGGCACAGTGGCACAAAGTGCACCTCAGCCACCTGCTGCAGGGGAAGCCCAGCACGACACTGGACCAGGCAGGTGCCTTGAACGTGCCTTAGGATTGCTTCCCTGGCTTCCCTGCTCCTCCTCCTTTTTGTTGACCCTCACAATCTGCTATCTCAAAAGGTGATCCTTTTCCAGCTTGAGTTCCTTAGATTTTCTCCAAATTCCAGAGCTAAAGTTCTGAAGTCTTCACATCTCCCGAACAAAGCAAGTTCCTGTCCCTCATCGCCTATGGACTGTCATGACCTTCACTGGGGTTTTTGTCCACTTCCGCCCAGGTAAGTCTCCAGTGTAGTTAGGGTCACTATTTCTCTTTCCCTAGCCACTGATCTAATCCAGGGCTCGCACCAAGATCTGCAGAGCAAACTGCCCCCTGCCTGTTCTGTAGATGTGTGTGTTGGAGCACAGCCACCCGCACTTGTGTATGGGTTGTCTGTGGCTGCCTTTGCACTACCAGGACAGAGCTGAGTAGCTGCGGTGCAACAGA